CTTCTAGAGTTATTCGAGGTCAAAGTTTGATTAACATCAAATTTTCTGCTTTTTTTTAATTTTATGGTATGGTGTACAGGCTCAGAATAATTATTTTCGAATAAAAGCGTAAACTGAGTGAGTCAATATATTTTGAAATAATTTAGAAACCGAAAAAAACAATCTAAAAAAAAAAATTTTTACTAAATATTTTGGGTACCCCGTTTTGCCCGCGACCTCTTAGAGTTGAGCTGAAACGCCCATATTTGGTGAGGATTTTTTTTATATTAAATAGTAACATTTAAGAGGGTAAGAGCGAAACAAAATAAATAATTTTTTTTGAAGCACCCTAATATAAATTTTGTTAATAAATTTAATTATCGCATAAAGATTATGGTTTTATAGATAATTTAGATAATAATTATTGTGATTTAACCTGAAATCGCAATTATCTCTGAAACTATAATACCTAATTATTATTTATGAAATACCTATACAAAATATAAAATAATATAATATAAAAATATAGGGTGTCCCAATATGTATAAAATTGGTCTCTTAAAAGAAAACATTAAAGTTTTAATAAAATAGCATGTTTTTCTCGTTTTTTAGTGGAATAAAAATGTCAAAAATTTATTTCTAAAATGCATGCATATTACTGTAATGGTATATACTAAAACCATTACATAAATATGCAAAAGCCATAAGGGGTTATAGCTATAATCCCCAAAAGGTTAATTTCTACTCAATTTTTAAAACATAAAATATTGAATAAATATTGAATTACTTATTTTTCAAAACTAATACTATACGAATGTGTTTTTTTAAGTCAGTTGGGCCGTTCCCGATATCAGTTTCCACAATTTTACAAATTTTCACATAATTTTTTTTTACAAACGCATAAAAAATAAAATAAAACAAAAACCCTTAATTTTCCCCCTTTACAGGTGCAGGAATATTAGATCAATAACCCTACCCTGCTGAAAAAGACGGGTAATATCGGATGATTGCGGATAAAAAACCAAGCTAGTTTTATGTCCATTTATATCTGTTTTTATCCGAAATATCTGATTTTACCCGGCATGTCGGTTTTTATCTGCAATTGCGGGTATAAATATTATCCGCGAACGTCGGGTTTTATCTATTTAGATCTATGTCTGCTTTTATCTGTTTTCATCCGCAAATACCTGTATTTAAGTTTATATCTGCATTCACCCGGTTTTATCTGATTTTATCCGCAAACATCTACTTTAATCCGCAAACGTCTGCTTTATCCGATTTCACCTGCAAACATCTGCTTTTATACGTGAAGATCTACTTTCATCTGCGAACATCTATTTTAATCCACAAACATCTGTTTTAATCCGAAAACATCTCATTTAGTCCTCAAAAGTCTGATTCATAAGATTTCACCTGCAAACATCTGCTTTTATCCGCAAACATCTGTTTTAATCTCCAAAAATCTGATTTTATCCGCAAACATCTATTTTAATCTGCAAATATCTGCTTTTATCCGCAAACATCTGATTTTATCTGCAAACATCTGATGTTATCCGCAAACATCTGCATTTATCCGTAAACATCTGGTTTTATCCGCGAACATCTGATTTTATCCGCAAACATCTGATTTTATCCGCAAACATCTGATTTTATACGCAAACATCTGATTTTATCCGCAAACATCTGATTTTTTACGCAAACATCTGATTTTATCCGCAAATATCTGCTTTTATCCGCAAACATCTGTTTTAATCCGCAAACATCTGATTTTATCCGCAAACATCTGCATTTATCCGCAAATATCTGCTTTTATCCGCGAACATCTCCAAACATCCGCGTTCGGTTTGCCTGCATTTCCTTTGTCCATTTCGGTCCTGTTTCGTACGCAAACGTCTGGTTTCATTCGCGCTTTTTGTTTTCCTTTTTCTCGTGTATACTTTAGTTTAGTTTATCTGCTTTGTCAAATTTTACTGAGCTTTCCGCGAACATTTGCAAACATCTGCTTTTAACTGCAAACCTCTGCTTTCATCCGCGTTCGCTTTGTCTGCATTTCCTTTGTCCATTTCGGCCCTGTTTCGTACGCAAACGTCTGGTTTCATTCGCGCTTTTTGTTTTCCTTTTTCTCGTGTATATGTGTATATATACTTTAAGGACATAAATAGATATTTTTTAATCATTAAGCTTACATTCAAATTAATTGTTAGAAAACATATATGTTTAATTTCAAATACATTTGGAATTATAACATCTTCAATTTGTATGGAATTTGTTTGAAAAACACTTTTTAATTTTGGCATAACCAATATTTTTAATATATATGTAAGAATTAATAGACTTATTATTTCTGTGGTACTCTTCACTATGGTATACCTGATTTTTAAATTTAAATCTGGTGAATATAATTAAATTATTTTCCCATTGAGAAAATGTCGTGTTGAATAAACTTATTTTCTTTACAGGTTGTTTTTATTCAAATAATTCTTTTTAGAGTTATTAAGTTGTGAGCCGTGAACGGCTAACAACCAGTTAGTTAAAGCTCAGTAAAATTTGACAAAGCAGGTAAACTTAACTAAAGTATACACGAGAAAAAGGAAAACAAAAAGCGCGAATGAAACCAGACGTTTGCGTACGAAACAGGACCGAAATGGACAAAGGAAATACATGCAAACCGAACGCGGATGAATGCAGATGTTTGCGGATAAAATCAGATGTTTGCGGATAAAAGCAGATGTTTGCGGATAAAAGCAGATGTTTGCGTATAAAATCAGATGTTTGCGGATAAAAGCAGATGTTTGCCGATAAAAGCAGATGTTTGCCGATAAAATCAGATGTTTGCGGATAAAAGCAGATGTTTGCAGATAAAAGCATATGTTTGCGGATAAAAGCATATGTTTGCGGATAAAATCAGATGTTTGCGGATAAAAGCAGATGTTTGCAGATTAAAATAGATGTTTGCGGATAAAATCAGATGTTTGCGGATAAAAGCAGATGTTTGCGTATAAAATCAGATGTTTGCGGATAAAAGCAGATGTTTGCCGATAAAAGCAGATGTTTGCCGATAAAATCAGATGTTTGCGGATAAAAGCAGATGTTTGCCGATAAAAGCATATGTTTGCGGATAAAATCAGATGTTTGCGGATAAAAGCAGATGTTTGCAGATTAAAATAGATGTTTGCGGATAAAATCAGATGTTTGCGGATAAAAGCAGATGTTTGCGGATAAAATCAGATGTTTGGAGATTAAAACAGATGTTTGCGGATAAAAGCAGATGTTTGGGGATGCGAATAAAATCAGTTGTTTGTGGATAAAATCAGATGTTTGCGGATAAAAGCAGATGTTTGCAGATAAAATCAGATGTTTGCGGATAAAGGCAGATGTTTGCGGGGGTGCACTAACCGGATGAAATAAGGCGTTCGCAGATAAAAGCATGTTTACGGGTGAAACCGTATGAAACCAGATGTTCGCGGATAAAATGAGATGTTTCGGATAAAAGCAAATGTTTGGGGATGAAAGCAGATGTTTGCGGATAAAAGCAGACGTTCGCGGATAAAATGAGATGTTTGCGGATAAAAGCAGATGTTCGCGGATAAAAGCAGATATTTGCGGATAAAATCAGATGTTTGCAGATAAAAGCAAATGTTTGGGGGTGAAAGCAGATGTTTGCGGATAAAAGCAGATGTTTGCGGATAAAATGAGATGTTTGCGGATAAAAGCAGATGTTCGCGGATAAAATGAGATGTTCGCGGATAAAAGCAGATGTTCGCGGATGAAAGCAGATGTTTGCGGATAAAAGTAGATGTTTGCGGGTGATTGCAGATGTTCGCGGATGAAAGCAGATGTTTGCGGATAAAAGCAGATGTTCGCGGATGATTGCAGATGTTCGCGGATAAAATGAGATTTTCGCGGATGAAAGCAGATGTTCGCGGGTGATTGCAGATGTTCGAGGATAAAAGCAGATGTTTGCGGGGGTGCACTAACCGGATGAAATCAGGCGTTCGCAGATAAAAGCATGTTTGTGGGTGAAACCGTATGAAAGCAGATGTTTGCAGATAAAACTAGACGTTTGCGGATGAAAGCAGATGTTCGCGGGTGATTGCAGATGTTCGCGGGTGATTGCAGATGTTCGCGGATAAAAGCAGTTGTTCGCGGGTGACTGCAGATGTTCGCGGATGAAAGCAGATGTTGGCGGATAAAATCAGATGTTCGCGGGTAAAAGCATATGCTCGCAGATAAAACCAGACGTTTGCAGATAAAACCCGACAAAAATAGACGAAAAAAAAATGCAGGTAATCGAGGATAAAAACAGACGTAAGCAGACGTTTGCAGATGATTCCGGACAAATTCAGATATATACGAAACACAGTGAAGACGGTTAAAAACAGATGATTGCAGATGATTGCGGGGGTGCACTAACCGGACATAAAACACAACCAACCGGGTGTTCGCGGATATAGCGATGCGGACAAAAGCAGATGTTATCAGATGATATTTTTACCCGCTTTTATCTGCGTTTATCCGGCTTCGACGAAGAATTTATACCCGCAATCATCTGCTTTTATCCGGTTTTGACGAAGAATTTATATCCGCAATCATCCGTCATTTTCAGCAGGGTAGTGTTTTTAAAATAAAATTCAAATTTTGAAACCCACAGTGGCCCATTTAATTTGTTGTTATTGTTTACATTTAGTTTACTTATTTAAAACTTTTTTGTTAGCTGAACACATATTATTTATTGTAAATGGACTACAGGAAGCCAGTGAATGTGTAAATTACAAAAAATATAGATCAGAAACGTACTTTATTACTGTATTTCCACATGTCTTTCAAGTAGTCCCATATTCAATTCCAATGGCGGTATTCGCTGAGGTAACATAAACTTTATAACTATTTATTTAACCACTATAGGAATTTTAGGTTATTAATGTAATATGCACTTTTTCGTGGAATTATACAGATTTATTTATAATGCTGATTTGTGCCGCTCTGACTTCAAGATTTAATCAAATTAATAGAAGATTAAAATACAATAAGGTGACGTAAGCCAATTAGCTTTTAATAAAAATTGTATACAAGTTTGACGTGGAATGAAAAAACCGCCCTTTTACCGTTTCTTAGAAATTAAACTTAATAACAACATGGTTGCTACATACACAACAGCCCTAAAACAAAGTGATTTTTAAAATTAAGCTACGCATCAAATTTTAAAGTTGGTAGTGTATTGTGCACTACTCCTACTTCCTCTTAGGGCATTTTTGATCGCCTTTATGACTCGACTTGGTTGTAAATTCAAAGGCACTACAAAATCAGCGATGCTACCTGCTTTTCCCACTTTTACACGGTTTATAGGGCGTTTTTCTCAATCACATCACATATAAATAAACTGAAGTAAAGTTTTCCAGAATATGCATCAATCCTTTTGGAATGAAATTCGGGTGGACTACAATAGACTCTCATATTTAACTTGTATGGTCGACAGATGTATATCTCCATTGGTCATGGTATCCTTTATCGATAATATATTGTTTCTTTGCATCCAGCTGTATCAAAGTCTTAAGTAGGTTTTTAATATTTTGGTTAATACACCGTTATTATTTGAATTTTAGGGAACGAAATAGTACCATTGAAACGTTATATTTTTTTTATTCCTGTGGATTTTTAGTGGTCAGAACAATTGCAGTGACGTTGTACGGAGCGTGGCTATATGATGCCACTAAATTCCCATTAAGATATTTATGTTCAGTGCCATCAGATTATTATTGTGTTGAGGTGAGCCAATTACTGTAGAAACAAATTAATCCCGGCGCCCCCTTTTTAAAATGTAATTAACCCAAAATATTTACAAACTTTTTAAGAAAAAAATCGATATATTAGCAATTTGGCTAATACATATCGATGTTTTAAAAGATAAAAAACCTATCTTTAGTCAATTCCACCATGCTTAAAAACTCCGTCTCCACCAATAAAAAAATTAAATCGTTTTGTATCCTTTTGAATTGTGGGTTGGTATTGGGTTTACAAGTTCGGAATGTACATTCCGATACGTATCGTTTAAACGTAACTGTAATTACAGTGGGGGATTCCCTAACCATCGAGAATATATATTCTCGATGGTTCCATAATATTATGGAACGTACTGGAAGAATCGGAAAGAGTCGGGCTTGGAGCCGGCCACGTATGCCCTGTAGAAAAACATCCCTATTGTAAATGACCAATATAATCCAATAAAAAATAAGTAATTGGTTTGAATTGCTTTGAAATGTGTTTTGGCGCTATGAATCACCAATTCATTCCAGTTGCATTCCTATTGGTAAGTTTCAATCAGTCAGTGGCTTGGATTTGAAAATACCAATCCATGCCTATGCTTGTCTCTATTGGCTAGATCCAATAGAAATGCACATGGAATGAATTGGTAATTCATAGCGCCAAACCCATTCCAACCAATTAGAATTGGATTAGTTTATTTTTCATTCAAAAATAATTTTAGATCCCAGAAGGATAACCGGGTAAAAACCAGAATTCATTTTTCACAGAAGAGACAAAAAATTTATTGTTACTGAGTAATTTTATTTTTTTATTTTTATATTTATATATAACTATATAGTTATATATAACTTACTACCACAAAAAAAGTAATAAAAAAATTACTGGGTTATAATTATTTTTTTATCTTTCTTGCAAAGGATGTTTGTAGGCATGGTCGACGTCGATATTGTTTATGTCAATTTTTTTTATTTTGTCCGCTGTGACAACCATTCTTAGGGCGGCCGCACATTTGCTACTTTTAGATCCGATTGTCTGAAACGATTTTTATCGGACCTACTAGTAGGATGCACAGGGCCTGCATCAGACTCGGACGTCCGATCAGATATCGGATCGTAGGTTTGCGATATGGTCGTACAAAACTATAGTTATTTAGGCGTCCGATAAAAATCGTTTCAGACAATCGGATCTAAAAGTAGCAAATGTGCGGCCGCCCTAAGGGCCATCGTCCCTATAGGTTTATAAACCTTACATGTAAACATTTTTTTAAGATATAAGTACACTACTATCACTAATAAAAAAAACCGCCAATAAATGGCGTCCAAAGACTTGTTTGTGTTGTTTTTTCTTTATAATAGCGTCTCAACCTCGTTGGTTTTGCGCAGCTACACGAGAGCCCTCTTGCGATATTTGTATTGTATTGGGAATAGCCAATTAGCAGATTTTTCGAATCTTACACTGGGAATGCCCAATTGAATTCAATTGGAAATTACCTATAGGTAGCTTTATCCAATCGAAACCGCTAAAAAACAGTAGAATCCTAATTGGATTTTTCCATAAGTATTGGGAATAACCAACTAGCAGATTCCTTTTTCGAATCTTACACTGGAAATGCCCAATTGAATTTAATTGGAAATTACTCATGGGTAGCTTAAGCTTTATCCAATCGAAACCAATAAAAAACATTAGAATCCTAATTGGACTTTTCCATCATGAAAAATACAAGTAAAAACCAATTTTATATCGCGCCCAATTAAATCCAGTAAGGCCAATTCAGATCCATTGATACCAACCATGGTTTTGTATTGCAATACTTCAATTGGTTTCTACAGGAATTAATCGGTCATTTACAACAGGGTTTATAAATGACCAGAACATATGTTTTGATCATTTTCGTCCATTGATCCGTTATCGAGTTATACAATATAATTACAAAGACTTTATAATTATATAACTCGATAACGGATCAATGGACGGATAATAAAGTTAAACTTTTTTCCATGTTATTTAAATAATAAATAATAATAATAATAAATATTTAATTAAATAGGGAATAGAAAATCGCGATGAGTAACTTTAAACAATATTAAGAGCTGCAACATAAACAAGATTAATTTTTAATTTAATTTTTTTTTAATTTCCTCGCGTATAAAGACCATACCTAAATCCGCCCATGCATCCAGTCACTGGATTCCAGTGCATTTTTACTGGTAATTTCTCAGGGAGTTCACAAGTTTGGCTAGAGATGACGGGTGAAAGAACTATAAATCCAAATACAGTTTTTTGTGTTTTATAAATCGAAACTTCATACTAGCAATAAAAGCGTCCATTAATGGATTAATTGTGACATTGTAAACTTCAATATTTTATTTATTTGTATAAAATCTAAACAATATAACAATATCATAACGAAAATATTATACAACAAATATAAAATTTGGAATATCTAGGTATATTTTTATTTCGAAAACCAAAAGGCGCTGAGGGATGTGCCCTTATACATAATTATAAATCATAAATAATGGACAACTTAATAAAAACGGCGCACTAACAACAAACCACGCGACAAATAGTTTTTGAGCAAAGGTTTTTCTATGTTTTTGAGTCATATTTTTAAAATTAAGTTTTATTTTTTTAATTTTAATTTTTTAAGAATATTTATTTTGGTAAAACACAATTTTCTAATGACGTTTAAAAAAGTATCCTTAAACCCTAGTTTCCACAAAATCTTTTTGGATGTGTCGAGTTTTTTAAACTTTAAAGGTTTAAAAAATAATAATTTATATTAATGACCACAATAAAATTGGAATTTTGCTTAAATAATCTCAGAAATTGTCCACTAAATAATACTAGTATTAAACCTTTTCTTTTTAGATTGACAGGCTCATAATGCAAATATCTTCAACATCAATTGGTATTTCTGGTTGCAGATTTTTTATTTTGGATAGAAAATTTCTATTGAAAATGGCGGGAACAATCGTCACTTTAGAACTTATGATTTTTCAATTTGGCCCAATCATCGATCAATCAGCAAAAGAAAGAATATCAAACTGCATTAAATAATTAAAAATTAATGATGTTATTTATTTGTGATTGTAAGAAAATATTAAAACTGTATTTGTATTATCAAGGATTTTTAAATAAAACTAGAATTGATTAAAAGCATATATATTTTTAATCTATGCATAGATAAAAACAAAATGTAATGTAGAGTAAATTTGATGAATCAGTCATTACGTAAGTATTTTAAAATGGGAAAAACACCACTTAAAAGTTTAAAACCTATCACAAATAAATACTGATACACAATATATTCTAAACATCGTTTAAAATACAGGAACATGTATGCTTTTCTAATAAATATAAGATAATGTCAACTAGAGAGAAATATCACATTCACCAATATTTTTGCCAAATAGATTTGATTACTCAATAAAAATAGGTTTTAGGCACCCTAACAATTATTTTTAAAAGTTTGCTACTAGTTTTCTGATATGTTTAACATTAATCAAGAATTTTTCAAAAAAAAACAATGTAGCTTTTGCCTTTTAAACCCTGTAGAAAACAACTTTTCATAGACAAGTAAAATGCAAAAATAATAGAAAAATAATTTAATGTAGATACAAAACATACATTTTCATTAACTTCAAGTAAAAATTAAAAAATCTAACCTACCAATAAAAAAATTATTTACAACTTGGTACACAGACGTTCAGAGTTTAAACACAGGTACAATCAAATTTTGTAAAAAAACACGGTTTTTAAACCTAACCTCACTTTGAAAACTAATATAATCCACCAAAAGATAAATTGATTAATTTATGTGTCTTCAATAGTTGGTAGCCAAAATGCCATGTTGGTGCAAGCCGAAGCAAGCATCATATATTTAGGATTGAACTGAACACACTGAACTGGACCAGGATGGTCAGCATTTAAAACGCAAACTTTATAACCTGTATCTGCATTCCATACATGCACACGGCCATCAGTCGATCCACTAAATATAAATTGAGAATCTGGACTAAACGATGCCTCAATGGGAATACCTTTATTATTTAAATGCCCTGTAAACGTCTGTAATGGAGTACCATGGAAAGCATCTATTAATCTTATTATTGATCCATTTGTACTGATCAAAATGGTTTTTCCATCCCTTGAAAACTTTAAACCTGTCCAATCAGCTTCTTTTTCTTGTGTCAATTTGAATGTTACAAAGGGTCCCTAGAAAAAATATTCAGTCAATATGTTTCAAATTTCAACTTTTTAATTTTTAGAAAAATCTGCAATTAAATTTTTTTTAAATAATTAAATGTTTTAAGTACCATGGCAAAATACTGTATTTTTGTAGAATAATGTTTTTATCTACAATATTTTATCCACAACTCATTCCCATCACTTATGTTATTTATATTTATATAAAAAACAATGGTCAAAATAAAGGTTTTTACTTCCCAATATTCGCAGATGGTTTATGTTTCCAAGGAATATAAGGTAAAAAACCTTTATTTAATAGATTAGTGTATACAAATATATACATAAAATATTTAACACAACAAACCTTATCAAAAGACCTCAGATCATAAAGTTTAATACTTTCTGAATTGACTCCAGCAGCAAAAATCAAGCCTTCAGGATCGTAAGCAGCCACAGGCCTGCCAGATAAATGCATAAGACCCTGACAATTGGGTGATCGTAGATCCCACAATCGTAAAGTTTTGTCCAGTGAACCTGACAAAAAAGTGTCTTCTACAGGCGACAAGCACAGTGAAACGACCTTTTTTGTGTGTCCAGGAAAGTATCTAATATATTTATTGTCGTGCAAAGATAAATATCGAATAGTATCATCGACCTTAGTCGAGCTGTGTACAGCAGTGTTTTTTGCATGTGTAAAATGGATTAAATCGACCCCGTACTTTTTGCTGTTAACTGTACGGACTTGTGTGCCTTTTTCGCAGTCGTATATTACAATTTGGTCATCTTCGCTGCACGATATTAAGGTTTCTCCGTTCGGAGAAAAGTCGATACTGTTTATTTTGTCTGTATTCTCTCGAAACACTTTCGCCACCCGAAAACTACGTACAACCTGGTCAACTAGTTTCATCTTCATTGGGAAGGCCGTCTTTAAAAAGGGATCTCCAATTGTTTTTCTAAAAAGCTAAGAAAAAGCGTCGTCTCAACAATCCAAACAAAGAGCAATGGTGGAAGACATGTTGGCACTCTGCTAAATCCGGTAAAAATAAACTATTTTTGATTTAAATCAAAAATATTTACCTTTCATACAACTAAATAAATTAAAAAACGATTTTATAAGCCATAATAAATTTAATATAACTTTTTAATGGTCAAAAAATGACAAGTAAAGTTGAATTAGTCACTCTTTTGACTACTTTTATGTCGTGTGTACCAACATAAAGAAAATTAGGTGACGATTTTTAAACAAATTAATTATTCATTATTAATAATGGGTTATAATAAATCCATACATCTTTTTATTTATTTGCATTTTAATATTTTACTCAGTAAGCCAATTCCTAATAGCAAAATGACTTTGGATCGCATAATAAAAAATAATGTCTTTGTTCCAAGAAATAAATATTAGTTTTATTAAGCCGGGTCTACAATTGTCGCAGGTCGCAAGTCGCAGAACATAAGCCTGCGCAAAGCACCCAGCTGACAAAAGAACCTTGCTCCATCGCGATGGGTGCTTTGCGCAGGCTTATGTTTTGCGATCGGACCCCTGCGACAATTGTAGACCCGGCTTTAACATTTAATAAATTAAGATTAAATTTTAAGTTATTTTTCGGCGAAAAGAGCCATATATTATAGCATTTAATTAATTTTATATATTGTTTGATATTTAGGCAGTACTAATAAAGTAATTGTATTTAATTATGTAGTGTTTTAAAAATATATTCGCTACGGCCCTGTTCAAAAAGTAGAGCACCTTTCAAATAAACGTCAGATTCTTAACCTATACAAAAATACCACCACGGCCAAGATCTGCAGGAGTCCTGTATATATTTTAGTGAAAAACATTGATGATTAAAGGTATAGTTTTTGTTTTGTTTAATATAATGTTTAATTGTTATTAACTAAATACCGGCAAAATTGCATCATTGGCTTAAAAAAATCTATGGGCCCATATGGTCAATTTTTTTTGGGATAAATAAAGTAGGTAATTGAAAATATATGATATAAATGTATATTTATTTCTTAGGTTAACTACAAACACTCAAAATGGATACCTCAATGACTGCTTCTGAGGTTCGTAATGCCTATATAGACTTTTTTAAAGAAAAACAACATGTCTATTGGCATTCATCTTCAACAATTCCACTGGACGACCCCACCTTACTTTTTGCCAATGCTGGTATGAACCAATACAAACCAATCTTTTTGGGTACCGTTGACCCAAACAGTGATTTATCAAAATTAACCAGAGCAGTCAATACACAAAAATGCATAAGGGCTGGTGGCAAACACAATGATTTGGATGATGTGGGAAAAGATGTGTACCATCATACTTTTTTTGAGATGATGGGCAACTGGTCTTTCGGGGATTATTTTAAAAAGGAAATTTGTGCCTGGGCCTGGGAATTGTTGACTGTTCGTCTTAAGCTGCCAGGTGATAGGCTTTATGTTACTTATTTTGGAGGGGATAAGGCTGCAGGCTTGGAACCAGATAATGAGTGCAAACAGGTTAGTTAAAAAGTAGATCAACATTTTATAGCATTAATTTAAAACAATTTCTTCTAAATAATTAATTAAAAATACCACCTAAACCAATTATGCACCTCAAAATTTTATACATATGTACCTACTATAAATTAAGCTAAAATACTTTTTTTGGAATTAATTATAATTGATTATTTATTATTTTCAAAATAACTTAAATTAATTTTATGTATAAATTTGTTATAACAAAGTTATAGAGATTTAAAGTTTAAATATTTTCCTACAAACTGTAAAAAAATACATATGTCAACCAACTCCGAGTTGTGTGTGGTACCAATCATAATTCGTTTAGTTGTTTGATCTTTTTGGTAAAAGGCACATGGCTACTGAAAAGAAAATATTACGTCACGAGAAAGCATCGCCTAGAACCGGGAATCTATAAAGCACGCTTTTTCAACGGAGTTAACTATCCTTGCGCTGTAAACGCGTTGTATAGTATGGAATATGTTTGAAAACAAAATATATAATGTATATTTTGTTTCCATAACAACTGTTTTTAGATGTTTCTTAAATCGGCTTTAAAAATACCCAACGTTATAAAAAACTACTTGTCGGAAAAAAATTAATTCTGTATGGCATAACGTTAGTACGCAATTTTGGGACGATTTTATATTAAATACTAAATTACAGTAATTTAATATTATTAGTGTTATCCGGTATTATCATTATTTTGATACTTCGGAGTCCGAAGTTCGGACTTATTTTTTTTTAATTAAAATAAAGATCTGAATTAGGGTTATAAAGAACTGCGCGTATATTTTTAGTTTTGTGCTTTAAATCGCATTTAACAATAATAAAAAAGCCTTAAGGCTAATATCTTTTTTTTCTAAATTGTGCTAAATATAAAACTATTTAATGGAGAAAAGATAAATAAATATTATTTAAGTAAGTTGCAAAATTGTTTACAGTTTTTAAATTATCATATAGGTACGCGCTTAAACTAATAATGAGTGTGCACATTTTTGTTTAAATTTTGTATGAATAAAGAAATGAAAATACATGTTTTTACATTGGGAATGTTACAACAGAGAGAAAAAGATGAAAAAAAATGAGAAAGAGGAGATTTCTCAAGCGTGGAGTTTACTAAAATTATTCTCAAAGGCTTACCCTGTATTATAAAAATAAACATTTTTTACTGAACCTTTCAATGGAAATATACAGTTTGCGACTCACCTCTATTTATTGTGCGATTTTAACCGGATTTGTTTTAAAGTGTAGATCTTGATAAACTTTTTTTGGAGCAAAAACGCCATATTTATACAAAATACTAGGCCTACTATGTCAGTTTTTAAGAGTAAATTTTTAAGAATTCATATTAGCGATTTTTTTAAACAAAATCTAAGCACGGCACTGGATTCACCACCCCTCAAAACGACCCTTTGCTAAATTTTATTGAAAAATTTTAAGTAGAAAAATGTTACTATTGGTTTAATTTTATTTTAATGTTTTTTTCCTGGATAACTTGACAAAATAAATTTTTGTTATTATTGTGCATTTTTCTACTTAAAATATTTCAATAAAATTTAGTAAAGGGTCGTTTTGAGGGGTGGTGAATCCAGTGCCGTGCTTAGATATTGTTTAAAAAAATCGCTAATATGAAATCTTAAAAATTTTTGTCGTTTTCTTGGAATTAAATGCCCTTTCCATGTAACCTATGACTGATGTGTCTACCATGCACTGTCGACGGCATATTCAGTTTATTAAACTACTAATTTTAAAGTTATGGACAGAAAACTTGAGATTGATTTAGAAATACTTCACTAAAACGTAACTAAATTTCAATTTTTGCAATGTAATACATATATATATTTCTAAATCAACAAAATATGGAATTTAAAACCTAATGGTTTTTAAGGTATACATTTTTCTAATAATACACAAATAAAAATAGAACGGCTAAATTTCATTCTGATTTCTTCTTTTCTGAGTAGAAGTAATAACTTTTTTGTTTGTTTTATTTTTTGTTATTTGCTTTTTGTTTCTTTTTAAAATAAATATTGTGTTTTAATAAAAATAGAGTTAATTCATCCGAATATAAGCAAAAGTAATATTAAAATTGAAAACATTCAGCAATATAGCCATTTTAAGGAGCGGAGCACTTAGTGCACCGCGCGACCACTTATGTTACAAAAATTGGCGCGAGTAGTTAAGGGTTAATATTGACTTAGCACGGCAGCATACATGCACACTATAGTATAAAACTTTTAAAATCAGTAAAATAAAAATGTTTTAGATTTGGTTGGATTTGGGCGTGCCCAAGAGCCACGTAATTCCAGGCAGCATGAAGGACAACTTCTGGGAGATGGGAGAGACCGGACCGTGCGGTCCTTGTTCCGAATTGCATTTTGACCGCATCGGCGGACGAGACGTGCCCGAACTCGTCAACCAGGACGACCCGGACGTGCTGGAAATCTGGAACCTCGTGTTCATTCAGTTCAACCGCGAAACGGACGGAAGCCTGAAGGCTCTACCCAAAAAACACATCGATTGCGGCCTGGGATTGGAGCGTTTGGTGTCTGTGATTCAGAACAAACGCTCGAACTACGATACCGATCTATTTTTGCCGTTGTTCGATGCCATACAGAAAGGTTCTGGTGCTCCGGCTTATCAAGGAAGAGTAGGGAATGACGATACCGATGGCGTCGATATGGCGTACAGAGTCTTGGCTGATCACGCTAGAACGATCACTATTGCCTTAGCGGATGGCGGCAATCCCGATAACACCGGCAGAGGTTATGTTTTGAGACGTATTTTAAGAAGGGCTGTCAGATATGCCACAGAAAAACTAAATGCTAAACCTGGTTTCTTCGCCACTTTGGTGCATGTTGTGGGACAAATACTCGGCGATACTTTCCCTGAAATCCGTAAAGACCCCCAAAGCATAATCGATACTATTAACGAAGAGGAAGACCAGTTCTTGAAAACTCTCTCTAGAGGGCGCAATTTGCTTAACAGAACGATTGGCAAGTTGGGCGATTCAAAAACCCTTCCGGGAGATGTCGCCTGGAGGTTGTACGATACCTACGGCTTTCCTGTGGATTTAACTCAACTGATGGCAGAAGAAAAAGGCCTCAACGTCAACATGGAAGCGTACGAGGAGTCGAAGAAGGCCGCGCAATTGGCATCGCAAGGCAAAGGCACTGGAGTCGAGGATACAATCAACCTGGACGTGCACGCTATTACCGAGTTGCAGAATAAAGGTGTACCACCTACCGACGATTCCTTGAAATACACTTACGAAGCCGGTTCCGATTTAAACGTCGAATACAAGTTTGGAGCTTGCGAGGCAACCGTAATCTGTTTGAGATATAATAAACAGTTCGTGGATCAAGTAGAAACAGGACAAGAGTGCGGCGTGCTTTTGGACAAGACCAGCTTCTATGCGGAACAGGGCGGTCAGATATACGATACGGGTTACATCAACAAAGTCGGCGATGAAAGCGTTGAATTCTCCGTGAAGAACGTTCAGGTCCGTGGAGGTTACGTCGTGCACATTGGCAGTATCGAAGGTTCCCTAAAAAAGGGCGACAAAGTGGTTCTTCACATTGATGCATCCAGAAGGCGTTTGATTATGAATAACCACACTGGAACGCACATTTTAAATTACGGTTTAAGAAAAGTGTTGGGTACTGAAGCCGACCAAAGAGGTTCGTTAGTAGCTCCGGATCGTTTGCGATTTGATTTTACGAATAAAGGTGCTCTAACTGCGGATCAAGTCAAAAAGGCTGAGGAAGCCTCAAAAGAGTTGATTTCCAGGAATGGAGAAGTTTTCGCGAAAGAATCCAACTTAAGTGTGGCCAAAACTATTCGAGGACTTCGCGCTGTATTCGAGGAAACATACCCTGACCCAGTCAGGATTGTTTCTATTGGTATCCCAGTGGATAAGCTGGAAGCAGATCCCTTCAGTCCCTCAGGTGACACCACATCCATAGAGTTCTGCGGGGGCACTCACTTGAAATATGCTGGCCATATTGGCGATTTCGTGATCGCAAGCGAAGAAGCCATCGCTAAGGGCATTAGAAGAATCGTTGCGCTTACCGGACCGGAAGCAACAAAAGCCTTAAAGAAGAACGAACTACTCGAAAACAGACTGAACGAGATTAAATCCGCGATCGATGTCGATAAAGACAGCGCCAAGTCCAAGGAAAATGTCAAAAAAATCGTCGAACTGACAGAGGAAGCATCTCACGCAACTATTCCCTACTGGAAAAAAGAAGAGATCAGAAACACATTAAAGAACTTAAAGAAGACCTTGGACGATAAGGATCGTGCTGCTAAAGCTGCAATTGCAAATAAAGTGGTCGATGATATCAAAGAGTTTGTTAAAGCCAATCCAAACCTTCCAATCCTAGTGAAGGAATTGAAAGCATTTAATAACACCAAAGCTCTTGATACTGCTTTAAAGCAAGTCAGAACCCTTAGTCCAAACACATCAGCGATGTTTGTTACTGTGGACCAAGATTCCAACAAAGTTTTTTGTCTGTCTTCAGTACCCAAAGAAGCTATTGAAAAGGGTTTAAAAGCCAATGAATGGGTGCAAGCAGTTGCTACTAAACTGGGTGGAAAAGGTGGAGGAAAGCCAGACTCTGCTCAAGCCTCTGGAGCGAACTCTGCTGATATTAACGACATTTTAGATTTGGCAAAGAAATTTGCTGACTCTAAACTTGCTTAATTTTTTTATGCTTTAAAAATATATATCTCAATGGTAATGGTTTACATTATGAAATTGTTGATTATAACTATTAATTAAATCCAAATAAATACTAAGTTTAAACTTTATGTATTTATTATATAACAATAAAATCATTTTATACTTTCACCAACGTTATTTTTATCGTAAATTATTCTTATCCTAATTAAAAGTTCCTCCAAATTCGTTCCCACTTTTGCACTAATAGGAATTATCAACTCTGTAGTGTGTTCTTTTAGAATTTCCAAATTTTCTTCGGAATCCTCCAAATCCATTTTGTTGGCTATTATAATTTGCGGTCTTAGGTTCAGTTTATCGTTAAATTGTGACAATTCAAATTTTAACATATTTAAAGTTTTCCAAGGTTCTGGAAGGGACATGTCAAGTATATAAAGCAATCCCATACATCTTTCAGCATGCTTTAAAAATTGTATTCCTAAACCTTTATTTTTATGTGAATCAGGGATTAACCCAGGCAAATCAGCAACTAGAAAAAAGTGTTTAAGTAAAATGTTACAATATTATTTTTAAGAATTATTATTACTTGCGATTTGTTCATAATCATCATATTGCACCATGCCTAAATGAGGCTTTAATGTTGTAAATGGATAAGGGGCTACTTTTGGCCTTGCTCTAGATATAGCTCTTAAAAGGGTACTTTTCCCAGCATTAGGAAGACCAATCTATAAAATATCAATTTTGTTATTTTAGCACAGTAAACTAGGTGTGTAGTGGGTACCAACGGAACACTTCATCTAGCTTCACATTCTTAAGACAGAGTCTTAATAAAATTTATTTAATAAGTTCATTGGAAAAACCTTGATGTATATATTTCTGTGGCTTGAAATAGAAAGGGTACATGTCACAACTTCTACCAACTCATAAACCGTAAAATATACGGACTTTGGGATTTTTTTAAATACAAAGCCTCATTATGTTTCTATTAAGGTTTATTTTGTTATTTAATACATAAAATATGTCCTATTTTTGGGTTTTGCCTTTTAAATCAATGTATAACCTGGCAACCCTAGGTAAGTGTTTCATAGGCACCTACTACAAACCACAATCCACACAACAAACCAAAAATTTTTTATTGGTTTGGGATAACATAGCAGACTTATTGCTGTTTGACTAAATTTTTATAAGCCACTTACAAGTCCCATATGTGCCATACTTCTTATTTCTACAGTGTATTCTAGATCTTCGCCTTTTGCTCCATATTCACAAATTTTTGGAGCCTGTTCTGTATCAGATATAAAAAAATGATTTCCTTTGCCTCCTGCACCTCCTCTAGCAGCAACAAACATTAACCCAGGCTCGGATAAATCCCCAACTACTATTCCCTTATCGTTTTTAATTATAGTACCAACTGGAACAGGCACTTTAAAATTTTGGGCATTTTTCCCATGGCAATCTCTGTTGGCTCCATTTTCTCCTGGTTCAGCCTTAATTATGCTTGGAACTAAGTTCAAATCTTTAATATCATGTGCGGATTCTAATATTACATGGCCACCATTCCCCCCATCTCCTAAAATAAATTTTAATTTAAAATAGGTACTCTTTTTAGTAATAAATTTACCTCCATCGGGACCAGCATTTTCATTACTCCACAGGGATAAAAATGATATACAACCGTCTCCACCATTCCCTGCTATTACTCTTACGTGTTTAACATCTACAAAACTTTGCACCTTTTAAAAAATTATAATAAATTTAGTTTATTTAGGAAACCTACCGAGTTTCTCAAAGATTTTTGTTTTCTGCTTCTTAGCGGTTGTGCCACTTTTTGAGAATATTTACTTACACTATATAATAATTTTATTGAGTTCTTAAAACTGTTAAACATTTTTAAATTTAAAGAACATTTCCCACATTTAAAATCTATACAAATAGGACATTTTTTGTGGTTATGTTCATAGATTTTATTTGTGGTTATGTTTATGGCATGTCATTTCAGTTATCTTCAGTTTTTATTTCTGAAAAAAAAACTCTATAGAATATTTAAATAATAATTATTGTACACTTTAGTACCTACTATTTCCATTTATTAAAATAATCTTTGCCCAAATATTTTAATCCCGGCCACGGTCTTATAAGACCGTGATCCCGGCGCATTCGCCATTTTTATTATTTTTTCAAGCATCGGAAACGACAGAAAAGTGGTTTTATAAAAAAACGTACCTACACAGGTTGTAACACATTTCTTATAAGACCGTGATCCCGGCGCATTCGCCATTTTTATTATTTTTTCAAGCATCGGAAACGACAGAAAAGTGGTTTTATAAAAAAACGTACCTACACAGGTTGTAACACATTTAAAAGAAAACGACCTATTTTTAAATATCTTAAAATCGTTTAGTTATACGTCTTGTCAATTTTCTCCAAACTGGATTGATTTATCATAAAATAATAGGTAGTTTTTGTTTGACTGGAAAAAGGTGAAGAATAATATGGTTTTTTTTTTCTGTCGAAACAAACTTGTATTTTTATTGGAATATATAATAAAAAATATACAAAAAAGTCAGTGGCGTACCTACACTTTTGTGTCATTAATATTCGATAAGGTGCCTCCAGCCTAGCATTGGCGCATGTTTTTTAAACACCCTGTGTATTATTTTGTCATTCAAATTGTCAAAAATATTCTTCTTTTATTTAATAGGCTATACCAAAGATTATCTTTGGGCTATACTGTCTATCTTATACATAAAAAAAGCAATACGTATTTTAAAAAGTAGGTATTAAATATTTTTAAAGTATACTTTTATATATACTTTTAGATAATTTTTATAATGGACAGTTGCGAGTCGCAACTTGCGACGGGACAAGAGAAATATTTTTTATCCCGTCCACAACTGTCAATTACCTATTAAATTTATCTTTACTTCAATAATATAAAGTATTTCTTATTTAAATTATAGCCTTATGATTTTTTTCAATTTTAGACCAACTAGTTTTACATTGGTAAATGCACATTTTTTATATTTATTTCCTATTTAAAATAAATAAGTAACGATAACTATTTAATAAATTGTTTGAATCTAGATAAAAATTATTTAAGATCTGTGCCTTTGCTCTTTTTGCACAACTCACAATAATTAAGGGGTCCAAGAACCATGCATCTCCAAATAAAATTTCACAGTAGGTAAGAAAAACGATCTAATATAAAGTGACCTTTAATAAACAATTATTTTTTTAAATTTTCCATTTTCTATGCGGAGTGAAATTTTGTTCAAACCATTATAATATTATATTTTAGCTATAGGTTAATTTTTAAACCCGTTTTTTACCTATTCTTGCACTGGATCCCTCAATTATAGAACTGTAAGAAACGGTATTTTAAAGTATATACGTGTATATATATGTACATATATGTATTAAGGTGGGTCATTCCACGTCAAATCGAACACAATATTGGAAAAATTTCACTAAACTGCCTGTTTTTTCAAATTCTGTAGAATATTTATAAGCTAGGATAATCACAAATCTTGAAGGTTTTACGATAATTAATTACCGAGAAATTAATTATTATAACATTTTAATTTTTCGCAAGATGATACACACAGCTTGTTTTATTCCATTTCAACATCAACCCGTCTTTATTGAAAAACCCTCTACAACCCCAATAAAACGTTTCTGACTTTTTATTTTAAAGTGAAATATTTCTTTTTTGTTGCTATTTTGAGCTAAACTTTTTTCATCTTTATGTTTATATATTTATTAAAAATTATTATATCATAACTAAGTTACATTGCCAAAAAATTAAAAAAATCGACTATGATATTTGCGCCATTAAACGCAGAATATATCAAATTTTTTTTTGATAAGAAAAAAAATAAAAAGAAAAAATTAACTTCACAAAATCTTTTTTCTACGACCACTATGTAAAAGTCACTTTGCATCGTTGCTTAGAAAATGAATCTTTTCATTGACAAGGCAAAACACGAATGTAAAGTGACATTTCTGTGTGAAAAGTGACAGGTCTGTGTGAAAAGAACCGGAAAGCATCGTTTGACATTCAGCTGTCAAAAAAGTGTTTAGGTTATTTTGTTTTGTATTTAAAAATAATAAAAAATAAAAGGGTCGCAGAAAAAACATTGTGCTATACTTGTGAGAAAAGCTTTCTTCAAGCTCGTGTTAATGCACACTCGGCCTAACGGCCTCGTTGGCAACTTAAACACTCGCATGAAAAAGTCGCTTTTCAACACTTGTAAAACAAATAACTATTTCAGCGCCGTTAGTGGGGAAAAATTTGTGCGATTTAGTAGGCAGGTGCTGTCAATTCCCCTTTTTGTTTGTTTCGGCTGCAATTGGGGTTAACACGGTTAACAGTTGTATTTTCTGTCAGTTTGTGTACAAAAATTGTTAATTATCGTAACTTGTTTATTTTTTACAATTTCTTTTTCTTCTTTTTGAATCATCATTAGAAAATTGGTTTTTAAACTTTCTTAGAAAGTAACAAAATTCAAATTTAATTTTAAAAACATTAAGGTTATAACTCAAAAACGAAGTACCTAACTTGTCAGACAAGATATTGTAATTTTTTACACTTAAAACCCGCGTGGTGTAAATAAGTAACAATATGTATTGTTAACATTGAATTCGTAAGCAATCACGGCCAGTGCCGGATTAGCAGTACAATAGGCCCTAGGCTAAAAATTACTTAGGGCCCCATTTATTTTATGGTGGTCATTTTTTTGATAGTCAAATTTGAAAGAAAAATAGCTGGTTTGTATGTTTATTTTTAAAAAAGTACATAAAAATCAGATAATATCTAAAAACATTAACCTAGAACATTTTCATTAAAAATATATATAACTAATTAGCTGGTAATATGTACCTATTTAAATAAATGATCGTTTTCGTGATTTTAGGGTTGAAAACCTTTCAATAATATTTTCAGTAGGAATTTTATGGAGAAGATCGTGTTCTATGGCCAATAAAGAAAGATGATTAATTTTTTCATCACCTTATGAATTTCTTTTATGAGTTTTTACTCTTTCTAATGTAGAAAATGATCTCTCCCCACTACAGTTAGTTACTGCCATAGATAAAAATATCCTTAAAGCAATATCTACGTTTGGAAAACTACACGTTAATTTTTTTTGTCTTATAAATTTTAACATTTCCCTTGGGTTGTTAATTCCTGAATTAATTTCTCCGATAAAATATTTAAAGCGAATACATTCGTCTCCTAAACTTTGGTCTAAATCGTTTGGATAGTGCTCCTGGAGCAAATTTGCTTGTTTTATAATATTCTGTTCTGAATAATTTTCTAAATATAAAAACCCAAACATATTTGAAACGTTCACATAAGCAGTTTGTCGCCTCTTGAGTTCCTCAATAATATTATCGATTATAATATAGAAAGTATTTATGCGCAAATTATCTCTACCACTGAATGTAACTTCACCATCTTTATTTTCGTCAAATTGTAGTTTTCTACTTTTATTTCTTTTATTATCGGATATGTATGTGGAACAATTTGTAAGTTTTTTACCACATTCTTCGTAATATGCAAAACGTTCGCGTTGTTGTAAGACATGTTTAATTAGTGAATCATACAAAGTCACTGCTAAGGAAATATCAATATCAGTAGCTTGTAACGATTTGCTAACTTTATTGAACTCTGTTAAAATATCGTTTCATAATTTCAACAAAATTCCAACTTCCAATTCTTCAAACCGTTTTTTAATCCCCTTTGCTTACTATCAATATTTTGTGTTTTAAAAAATGTGTCTATTTTTGGAACATTTGCTAGAGATGCCGCCTGAAAAACAGCTCTTTCTTTAGCTATTTTACGCTTTTTTGCCCCACTTGGATAGTTACTCATTTTAGACAATAATATACAGACACTGACTTAATTGTATAATGTACACTAAGTCACTATGCACTAATTAAGTTTTTTAATACAAACTAATTTTGTAATTATTACTATAACTACCTATAAATTAATAACTTTCAACTATCGAATAAACGAAACTCGTACATAATCATAATGAAATGACTACTCCAGGCACTCCGCCTTGTATTTACGCTAGGAATTGAAATTCGGGGATTCACATAAGTTTTTTGCAGCGCAGAGTGCAGCTGCAGAGGCGTCGGTCGGTCTAGGTATCTTAAATCGCAGTAAAAACTAACATTAGCGGTGCGTGCCACGCTGCAACTAGATTTAGTATAAATAATGATAATAATTATTTTTTTATTATTATATTAATAAAGTGGTAGTAGTAAATTATTTTCTTAGTTCTTCTATTTTCCTTTTCTTTTCATTAATTTGAAGACTTTTAAGGGCCCCTCGCAAGCCTTGGGCCCCTAGGCTATAGCCTACTTAGCCTATTGGGTAATCCGGCTCTGATCACGGCACGACCTACCTCTTTTATGATCCCGGCGCATTCGCCATTTTTGGAATTTTAAGGTAAAGTGACAATATTCCTCCGCTTTTCCGAGCCGCGTGGTTACAGGCTGGACTCACGAAATCTCAAGCTAAATATGAATGTTTTGTTTACAAAGGCCCTCTAGATTGCAATGCGATGTAATTTCAACGGATGTGTGAATCCATTATTGAGCTACGCGGCACAATATGAACAAGTTGCACAAATTTTATAAATCTTTATCAGTGAACTTTAAACGAAATAAATAGGCATAAGCATAAAATTTATTTATATACCTTGATTAAAAAGGTATAGCTCCAATTTGAAATAATTTAAAATTACATACGCGTATAAGCCAGTTCTGACATGATATAACCTACTCTCAAAAAACGCCAATTCTTATGTAAAATTGTCCCCTGAATCCGAAAATATCGTGAAAAGTTAAAAAAGTATAACAGTTTTTGAGGTATAGTCAATTTTCCATTAAACATGGAATTGACTATATCTCAAAAACTGCTACACTTTCATAATTTTTGACGGTATTTTCAGATTCGGGGGACAATTTTACATAAGAATTGGCTGTTAAATTTTGGGATACCATGGTATTCCATGGTTAACCATGATACAAGTGAAAAAGCAGCACTTATAACTATTAAATTAGTCATTTTTGACTAATTCATTTTTAGAGAGTATAGATAAGGCAAATTTTGGAAAGATAATCAATTCGTAAATAAATTTTA